CCCCCTCCCCAGGGACCTGTGTGCGGACGCGGCTGAAGGGTGTGGAGCAGGCAGGCAGGGGTGAGACGGCGATGGCGTTGCACAGACCGCTCTCGGCGGGCATTATTAGATCCCGTACGCTGAAGAGCTGTGGAAGCCCTCAAAGCCCAGCCCTGCAGAGCTGCTCTGCATGGAGTCTGGTCCAGCAACGGACCGGCACAGCCCGTCCTCAAATGGAATGAGGGCCCGACGGCGGGGCTCCGCCAAGGGGCGAGTGCCTCTTCCGAGACGGATCAAGCGTTTCCCTCTGTCATCTGATACCTGCAGACCAAAGCCAGGCCAGTGAGCTCAGACGTCTTGGTTCCTCCGACAGAACCCTCCACTCATTCAACGCCGACGAGACTCAGCGCCTGACGAGAGGGACGCCGCGCTCCTCCCCTAGCCGGGCGATTCTTGGAGACCACACAAACATCGCCTCTCCCTCACCCCTTGCTATCTGGTACACGCCGAGGCAGCACAGTGCTTGCGTGCTCCAGAGGATGTGACCCGAAGGATGTCTGCCTTGAGCCGAATCTAACCTGAAGTTTGATTTGGTGGCCAAAACTTAAAAATCGAATTTCACATAAAAACTCAGACTCCTAGCTTCTCTGGGGAAAAAGACAAACTGTAATAATACCTGGCAACACTGGACCCATGTCACGACCTACGGGGACTGAACAGTGCCTGCCTCCTTGAGGTCAGTCACAGGTGCCGCTGTGCCCTACCCCCCACCACTCCCTCCTGTCCCCGACGTTTCAGGCCAATTCAGTCATTGCCTTGCATTGCCCGGCGTGTCGTGAGCTTGTCAGTTTGTGATTCTGTCTCTTCTCTGGTTCTCTCCTTGGTCCACTGCTGATGGATGGGCACGGGGGGTGTTGGAGGAGGGGGAAGTATGTCCTTGCACGGGGGTGCTACCCGAGGCCGCCTCCAGGAACGGAGCGCGTGGTCCTGTGGCAGTCTGCAGCCTGCGAGCTAGACAATTCAAGGTTTTGCATTTCTGAGCTCCAGACTCGTACGGCCAACGGCCTGCTTGACACCTTGGCCTGGATGCCTTGGAAGCTCTTCATGCTTTCCGTGCCCCACATTGAACTCACCGTCTTCACCCAAGAAAGCTTTTTCTTCCTCAAGTCTTTCACCACCATCCAGACAGTTGCTCCTTCACCTCTCATACCGAAGTCCTGAAGATCACACCAGAGAATCCATCTCTCCCCCGCCCGCCGCCTCCTTCCCGCCCTCGCCACCACCTGGATCTTTCCCTGGCACTGCCACAGCCTGCGGAACCCATCTCCCGGCCCCCGCCCTGACTCCTTCTAATCTAGTCCCCAGGGAGAAGCCTGGGTGATCTTAACACCCGTCATCCTAGCACTCTGGGAGGCCGAGGTGGGCGGATCGCTCAAGGTCAGGAGTTCAAGACCAGCCTGAGCAAGAGCGAGACCCCGTCTCTACTAAAAATAGAAAGAAAATTAATCGGCCAACTAAAAATATGTAGAAAAAAATCAGCCGGGCATGGTGGCGCATGCCTGTAGTCCCAGTTACTCGGGAGGCTGAGGCAGAAGGATCGCTTACAGCCCAGGAGTTTGAGGTTGCTGTGAGCTAAGCTGACGCCAAGGTACTCTAGCCCGGGCAACAGAGTAAGACTCTGTCTCAAAAAAAAAGTTAAATTAGAATCACATTCCTCCCCTACTCTAAACCCCGTCCCCTTGCCCTGGAATAAAACCCTAGCTCCTCACCTTGGCTCATAAGCCCTGCTGCGCAGTCTGGCCCTACCAACCATCAGCCTCCAAGCTAAACTTGAATGACACTGGCCTTCCCTCAGTTCCTCAGACACACAGAATTCTCGTCTGCCTCAGGGCCTTTGCATGTGCTGTGCTCTGTGAATGGAACACTCTCCCGCCACCACTGAAAGAAAGAGACAGACGGAGGGGGAGAAGATGCCATTCATCTCTTTGCTGACCATCACCTGTTCCAGGTTCCAGCTGGTGAGTCACCTCCTCAGCGAAACCCTCTAAAGCAGGTCTTCCAAGTACCATCTCTTGGCGTGGTGTGCTTTGCTGGAACGGTCACCCCAGCTCGACAACCCAATGCACAAGCTCCTCTCAGCCACTGCATCTCACCCTGCGTCCAGGTGTCAGCCCACACCCCCATTCCAAAGCGCCGGCAACGGGCCGCTCCGGCCTCCCTGACCTGCCCGTATCTGGGCCACAGTCACTCCGAACGGCCCTGGTCCGCCCTCCACCTCTGGCAGGCCCTGGGCTCCTCGGGGCTGGCACTGTGCCGACCGCCCCGCGCGGCATCACCGGCGCCCAGCACGGGCCCGACGCAGGCCGCGCCCAGCAAAGCTCTGGCCGAAGGAGCGAGCCACGAGGTCCGAAAAGCACTGAAGGTTTCGGAACAAACTTTCTTCTAAGACCAAGTGATATTCCAAAAAATGGGGGAAAGAAAAAAGAACAGCTGAACATGGCATATGTTTAAGATTTTTAATTTTATATTTAAGGAGAGAAAATGAGATGGTCTTGGACTCATTTTCTTTCTATATTGAGACGCTTAAAACCACTAAGCATGCAAAAAAAAAAAAAAAAAAAAGAATGAAGGTCTATAGTGTGGCGAAGCAAAGAGAAAAGGGTGGGACATCAAATCGTTGAAGGGGATGAAAAGGCCTCAAGGCTCCAAAACAGAAACACGCACGGAGAAACAGAGGAAGACAGGTCGAGAGAGAAGCCGCTAGAAACATCTAGGCGAGGCCCACGCAGGGCAACGCCGCTTCTCAGCGGCTTCTCGGGACAGAAAGGGCAACACTCCAGATCTCCGAAGGGGTTCTGCGCCCACTGAAAGGTTAAGAGCAGCCACGGTCTCAAAGATCCCTCTTTTCTTCACTCTTCAAAGAAGATATTAAAAAAAATAAAAAAAAAAACTGATTTCCTACTCTAAAAATCAGAGATTTGCAAGTTTTGTTTGGAAACAAACACGTCACCTATTCAAATGAATTTTTCTTTAATGCTCCACTTTTTGTCTTATGAGGATATGGCTGCAAAGTTTTAAATCGTGACATTGGGTGTCACAGTTCCAGGCAGGAAGGGGATGAGTCCTTGGAAGCCGCTGGAGGGATGGGCACAAAGCTCAGGTGCAGGAAAGCACAGCCCGTTCCCTTCTCCGGAACTTTCCACGGCTGCAGTCCCCAGTGTGTGGGTGAGCTGAGCCTAGCTCCTCGGACGGCCCAAGCTCGCTGGCCACAGCCAACTACAGTGGAGGGGGGCACCCCCCTGAACCAGGGCCAGTCGGCAGTTCTGAGAATCTGGGCCCCTCGAGCTGATGACAAGGCTAGGCCAGCGTGTAAAACTGGGGAGAAGGCAGTGGTCGGCATACGGATCAGACCCACGGTGCCGCAGGTAGAGCTTGCAGTGTCTAAACCCCAGCTCCACCAGTTAACAGCAATGACCTTGAACAAGCTCCTTGACCTCTCCTTGACCTAACTGTAACCTGTAACCCTCATGGGGCTCCTCTGAGGATTAAATAAGCTAACACGCGTATAGCACTTGGAACGGGGTCTCACATGCGGTAAGTGTTAACTGTTTGTTATCATCTTGCTAAAATGTAAGCTCATGAGGGTGAGAATTTCTGGATGTTTTGATCATACCATGTCTGGAATCTAGCACTGTGCCTGGCACACAGTAGGTGCTCAATAAACGTCAGTGAATGGAGACACCACACAGAGCGAAATGGACAGAGACCATAGGAAGGGGCTCCGGACTCCATCCTACCCCAGAGCTCATGGTCGGGGGAGGAGGACGCAGACTCAATGATCGTGCCAGTGGTAGAATTCCAAGCTGTGGCAAGTGGCAGGAAGGAAAACAGGATGGAGCAGCTCTGGGCACGCAAAACAGAAGAGTTAACGTAGATGGGGAGGAGTCAGCCAAGATCCCTCCAAGGAGGGGACTGCACAGGAGGAAGAGTGTGAGCAAATGCCCCGAGGAAGGACCATGACTTCTTTCTTATTCCTCACTGTATTCCAGCATCAAACACGACACACAGCACAAACATAGCAGGTGCTCGACAAACACCTGCAGAATGAATCCACCTGTTGAACGGATTGACCAACAAGTCCTGGACCCTGACTTCCCAAGCCCGGGTACTCTTGAGCGGCATCTCCCGCTCATACAATCCCGTCTTTCTAATCTGCTTTGGATGAGCTCCTCTCTCTGTTACTACCAAAAGTTCTGACTCAAACCTGCAGAGTCTCAGCAGCCTCACGGCAGGCCAGGAGGTTCCCATCCTAAAACTGACAAGCCGAGAAGATCACAAGGATATGAGGACCTTCTTTTACAAAAAGCAATTTTCAGGTGTGACAGAGTGACTGTCACAGCCCAGCCCTCCCGCCATCAAGACCATGAACCAGGACACAGCACATAAGGCAACCGTTCTGGGCACTGGAGAGCAGTCCCAGGGTGTCACAGTGTATTTTATCAGGTATATAAACATACAGCAATAGAGACTGAGGCTGCCATGCCTGTGAATAGAAAAAACACAACAGGCAATGCCTCAAAATACTAATAGAGCTATTTCAGGAAGTTTGCTCAGGTACAGTTTTAATTTTTCCTACTGTCCTGTATTTTACAAGAGTATGTTGGTTTCCTTCGATGGACACTCATCTGAAACTTAAGATGACGGCTTCAGAAACCTTCTGTCAACACACGAACCTCCGCGAAACTCTAGCAGTTTCTCAATCAGAACGAGAAGGGAAGAAGTATCCTGGCACGAGAACATCATTTCTATCCTCTTATGCAGCTCAACGAGACTTTCCCCTCCTGCCTGCGCAGCTGGGTCAGCGTCTGACCCCAACTCAATCTCGAAGGTCTCGTCCCTCAAAGCAGCAGGAGGCTGACACACACAGACCTCAGCCTCGCGAGCGCTGGTAGTGGCGTAGCAGAGGTGAGTCGCCCAGTGACAAACCCCAGACACGAAAGGAAGAGAACCCAAGTCCATACCTGCACGACGGGGTGGCCGCCGGTGGGAGCCTTCACCGCCCCTCTGCTGCCTTCTGTCTCGTAGTGGGCGCGGTGGTGCGGCTTGGGCTGCACCTCGATCCGCAGCTCGTAAGAGCCCGACTGGCTGGAGAGAGGCCACTCGAGCGGAGGGAGGGAGGCGGTCACCGGGATGCTGCAGGAGAAACGGAGTCGGTCACGGGCACGGCACAACAGGGCCCGTCAGCCTGCGCGATGACCCTGAGTGGCCCTCGTCTGAAGGTTGTGGATGCAGTCATATGCTGTCTAACAACAGGACACATCTCGAGAAATGGGTCGATACGCGAACACCATGGAGCGTGTCAACACGAACCTAGACGGCGTCGCCTGCTGCACGCCTGGGCTGCACGGCTAGCCGCCCTCCCAGGCTACGCACCCGCGCCGCGTGTCGCTCTGAACACCGTGGGCAGCCTCAACACGATGGTGAGGATTTGTGTGGCTAAACATCTCAAAACACAGAAAAGGCACAGCATTATAATCTCAGGGGCCACCATCATTCAGGTGGTCTGTCACTGCCCAAGATGCCATCGTGCAGCACGTGGCCGTATGTGAACAGAAGGCCAGAGGCCGTGGAGGCGCACGGCCCTCAGACGGGGCAGCCAGCGCCGCCCACAGGGCCGGGGTCTTTGTCTTTGCTCTCGTCTTGATGAAGACGGCCTGACCCAGTTCTCAACTGGTGAAGCTCCTTTCGTTATGTGTTGGTTCCAGCATGCTTCTAACTGTGGCAACTTCTGGGAAAAATGGAAATCGGGGCCCTCACCTGTGCCATCACTTGCCATGTGCCTCTACGCAAGCAGCTTCGCCCCTCCTATCCGCACTCTTATAACCACACGGGAAAGGGACCAGATGGCACCTACGGGTCATCACAGCTCTTATCCCTGCGTCAGATGATGATCTCAGCTAAACGTACGTTTTGGGGAGAGGTCCCTTCCAGTCACACCACTACGTGGCAGGTCAAGTACCCAACGTGTAGGCACCATAGAGGTGTCCAGTTCGGGAGCGAATGAGCCCCTGATACTAAATGAAGAGGAAATGTCAAGAACGTGGCTGGGGTTACACGTCCAGGTTCAAGTCCCTGTTCCACCTCCAACCACCTGTGTGACTCTGAGCAAATGCCTCTACCTCCCTAGGCCTCAGTTTCCGCAGATGTGAAATGGGGATACCGAGATCGTATGACAAGCTTAGCACAAAAAGCGTTCAATAAATATTCACTGTAATTATTTTTCCTGTAATATATATTTCAAATAAATAGATATTTCCTAAAGACTGTCCGACTTAGTTACGGTATTAGATACACATATCTTCACGTCTGAAGTCGTAAGATCTTTGAGGACATTAAGTTTCATTTTCTTATATAGCCTCGACCCTACTGCTGCAGTTTGAATAGGTGTCCCCTCCGAAAGTCATGTTGAAATTTAATCCCCAATGTGGCAGCATGGACAGGTGGGGACTTTAAGAGGTGACTGGGTCTATTCATGGATTAATTAATTAATGGGTTGATGCATTCATGGGTTATCATGGGAGTGGGGCTGCAGGCTTTAAAAGAGGAGGGAGAGAGACCTGAGCTAGCACATCAGCCCCCTTCCCACGTGCTGCCCTCGCCTCCTCGGGATGTGCAGAGAGTCCCCACCAGCAAGAAGGCCCCCACCAGATGCTCCCCTCGACCTTGGACTTCCCAGCCTCCAGAACTATAGGAAATAAATTTCATTCCTATAAGGTACTCAGTTTCAGGTATCCTGTTAAAGCAACAGAAAATGGACTAAGGTAAGAACCCAGCATATCCAACAGGTACTTGATATGTGGTTAGAATTATGTCGTTTAAGAGTTGACCGAGGTCTTGAAGATCTGTCCAGACCACTCCTTCTGCACCCCAGAACATGAGTTCATTTCCCCAACATGACAGAGAAGCAGCAGCAAGGCTCCAGCTATGTCTCTTGACTCCAAATCCAGTGCACCATTTGCATCTCCACAGTGCCTCTTGTCTCTAAGCTAATTTATTTAAAACAGGTCTAAGAAAACATTTCATTTACGGACTGATCCTAGAACCATGCCTGACATTTGATAGGCTCTCATTAACTATCCCATGGGTGGATGGATGAATGAATGAATGAGCAGCTTTACTTCAAAGAAGCCTTGTACATTCCAAGTAACTTTGAAGTTGCAAATGCACAGATTTGTATCACTGTGTCCTGATTTTTCACATATGGCAGAAATCATTAATCCAATCAGAGTGTTCTTTCCCTCTTGGCTCGGGGCTGCTAGGATATGACACTATCAACTGGACTTAATTAAGCATTTGCAATAAAGCCAACTCTCTCTCTCCTCTATCACAGCAGTACCAAGAGGAGAATGGCAGGGCGGGAGGGGGGGTGGTAGTACCTCCACAAACTTTATCAGTGACAGAGTCCAACGTAAACACACAATCCCACTGGAAATTACGCCCTCACTGTACAAGCAAATCTCCAGCCCTTCTTCCCAACCAGACCGCCGCCTCAAGTCCTCTCACCCCGCAGGATTAGGGTGTCCAAAAGACCTTTATTTCTACCTTAGTTACAGTGCTAAGATGCCATTAGCTTCTCCTGCAGCCACGTCACGTATTCAAATTATTATAAAAATTTTTTTTAAAGTTTGCAAAAAGACTCATTTTTTAAAAAAATGCTCTTCATCCTGCATTAATTATCTTTTGAAGTCTCAAAAAAAAAATGTAGTGATGAGTAGAAGATTCCATGGGCTATCCTCAAGTTTCAATTTATAATTTTGTTTGATTCTGAAACAGTTTTTTGACACTGAAATAGAATCTTAAGAATTAGACCATTGGAGCCAGCCTGAAATTCTGCACTTGAATTCTAGCCCTCTGCTGAGTGTCCATATGCCCTGGGAGAAAGGTTATCAAGAGACTTTCCTGAATACTCTATCCTCTTAACCTTATAGAAAATTCTTGCAAATATCTCACTGGCTGGCACAGATTGGCACTTGCTAAGGACTAAAAGACCCTAAAACTCAGAATCTCTTAGATCAAGATACAGAATGCACTGGGAAGTATTTTATAAATAACAGTCTCAGATAAATTTATCACAATCATATTTTTATATCAATGCTCCTTAATTATCAGTAATAAACTCATGGTTTGAAGACTGATATGTATATGTAGCAGAAAGAATGAGGAGCCGGGAATTCCAGATTCTAGTTTTCAATGTGGTCATTCACTAGCCGGTGATTGTGGGCTTGTCACTTCATCTCTCTGAGCCCAAATCTGTACCAGGAGTTGGTCTTGATCAGCATTTCCTAAGGTGGCTTGGTGACACTTCAGTCACAGAACTCAGAACGCTATAGCTAAATGGCCTTTGAAATCACTGTAGACTCTGTCCACATTGAAGGCTCTGAGAAGGCCTGCACAAGGGTACCTATTTAACTCTGTTAAATCCAGAAACTCCTTCATTAAGAAGCACCGACTGACCTACTGTGGCACTGGGGTTCTCGGCACCCACTTTGGGGGAAATGCCAGACGGAATGTTCCCTGCGGTCCATTGTGGCCTGGTGTAGGGGCAAACGAAGCTCACTGGGCAGGGCCCTTGGCCGCCCTCCTTCCTGCAGTAGTCAAAATGGCTCTACCTTTATGTATTTTCTCAATTTAATATTTTATTTGGAAAATAAAGGCTTCCATTTGCTAAAACAAAAGCCAATTTGAAAACTATAGGGATAATGGTAACAATATAAGCCTTCCAATTCTTCATCCAACGGAACAGATAATATCTGCCCATAGCCTTTATATACCTCCTTTTTCTTATCAAATGAACGATAACAACTAAAACCAAACTAGGTTTACAGGAGAATTAAATAATATACACAGAGTACAGTCAGCCCTCTGTATCTGTGGGTTCCGCATCATGGATTCAACCAACTTCGGATGGAAAATATTCAGGAAAAAAATTCCACAAAGTTTCAAAAAGCAAAATTTGGATTTGCTGTGCTCTAAGTACCGTGCTAAACCCACCTGAAGTCATGTGTAGGCACGACATTAGGTATAAGTAATCTAGAGATGATTTAACCACTTCGGTACGAGCATCGACTTTAGCCGACCCGTGATATGACTTTTCTAATTTTTCATTTATCAAAATAAAACTGTGAACATTTAAAAATAACGTAATGAAAACATATATGTGTATGTTACCTATTCTGATTTACATGACAAGTAAAGCTGCCTGTAAAGTAAAACAAGCTTTCAGTGCGTTAAAGCTTTCCTCGTCACACAAGAGCAAAAGGGATCCGTCGTCCATGCACAGCACAGACCGTCGTGCGGACTGTGAGTGCCGGCTGTGGGCCAGGTTTCGCGGTCAGTGAGCGCTGTACCGAAGTGGTTAAAGTATACAGAAGGATGCGCATAAGTTATGTGCAAATACTACACCACTTTTTCATAAGGGACTTGCATCTGAGGATTTGGGTATCTCTGGGGGATCCTGGAACCAATCTCTCACGGATACTGAGGAATGACTGTACTTAGAATGGTCCCTGGCACTAGGAAGCATCCGTAAATGTTTGTGGTTATTACTGTCACGGTCACTACTCTAAAAGCTATTCTAAGACCAATCTCCTAGCACAAACGAGCTTGTCAACAAGGAAGCACTTTTTAAAGTACTTCCCTTTAATAAGACTCTCCTGTAACTAACAGCAGCTATCCCTTCTTTGAGCCCTTACTTTGTGCAGGCTCTGTGCTAAGAGTTTAACATATATCAGCTCACCTAATCCCCGGGGGCGAAAAAGCCATAGGGTAGGTACTATCATCATCTCCATCTCACAGGGAATGAACCAAGGCCAGAAAGATGCTAAGTAAAAATGGAGAGCCTTGATTGATTAATGATGTCTGCCCTGGCCCCAGCATCAAAAACGTGCCGGATGAGAAAGAGGGTCCCAGTTGATTAGCAATGTCTGACACAAGTGCAGCAGCAGGACAGCAGCACCAGAGAGACCCACGACCACACAGGCAGTGAGCGGCCAAGCTGGGGCTCAGATCCGGTCCTAAAAGGCCCCCACGCCTATGAGCTGCTGTCTATGTGCGTCTCTTCAGCTTGCCATGATTTCTAAGCTCCTTGAGATTTATGGCTTTCACTTTTTTTTTTTTTTTAGGAAACTACAAAACAGTGGAATTAGGGCCTCCATATAACCAAGTGCTACACTGAGGCACACAGTAGATGCCAACAAAAATCGATTCCCTTTAAAATGATGGCAGATTTGACATATTAAGGCTGCTTTGGGCTTACGAGAATGTCAGCTCCAGGAAGGAGAAATTTTTGCCTGTTCAGTTCACCACGGTCTCTCCAGTACCTGTATTGAGAACCCAGCACATAGCAGGTGTTTGATAAGTACTTGTTGAATGAATGAATGAGGTGCATATGAGCGATCACATTTACCCTGTGACTGCATCCACCTGGTGAGCCGGGCACACTAATTATACCCATCTTACAGATCGGGAAACTGTGTGTGGCTCAGGGGCTCACAGCCAGCAGGTGGCAAATCCAGGATTCAAATCCAGCCTACTGGGCTCTGCATCCCTTAGAGCTAGACCTGGCTGGCGGGATCCACCGTCCGGAAGGCGGAAGGAAGGCGTGCTCACCTGCAGATGGGAATGGCCGGCATCAGCTGCTTGGGCCAGGTGGGCGGCACCAGCAGGATGGACTCGGGCGCAGAGTTCCTCCGCTCCTCCTGCTCGCAGGGCCCCAGGAACTCCACGGCCGGGTAGAGGTGGCGCGGCAGGCCGGCCTTGGGCGGCGCGGCGGGCACGGGGGACGGGTCGGGGCTGGTCTTCCACATCTTGGGGGGCACGCCGCAGGGCGGGTCCGCGGCGAGGCTGCTCAGGGCGTCCATGAGCACGGCGGGGCCGGCCGCGGGGGGGAACCCGGCCGGGGCGCCGTCGTCCTGGGCTGCCGCGCGGGACGAGGGCTGCGGCGAGGGGCTCCGGGAGCGCTGGGGTGAGGCTCCGGGCAGCGGGGCAACCAAGGCCTCGGCACACGAATGCCTCCGCTTGGCACCAGGCGACGAGGAGCGGGAGGCCGGACGGGGCGCGGGCGAGTGGCGGCCCAGGCAGCTGTCCTCGGCGAGGCCGGCTCGAGGTGACATTATTGGCGAGGTTCTGGGGGAATAATGAGCAGGGATGTTTTGAAACTGGGGGCACAGGTCGTCGGGCCCGCCGTTATTGGGCGAGACGCAGGGCGAGGTGTAGGGGGAGAAGGTGTCGGAAATGAAGCTGGCAGAGGAGCCGCTGCTAGCGGGGCTCAAGCAAAGCGGCTCGCGGTAGCCCTCGAAGCCAGGCACGGGCAGCGTGAACCGCGGGCCGGGCGGCGCGGGCGCGGGCTGCTCCGCGGGGGGCGCGGCGTCGCGCGCGCGGGCGCCCGCCCCCGCCTGCAGCAGTTCGTGGGACGGAGTGATCTCGATCCGAGGGCTCAGGCCGGCCGCCCCCGCCGCCCGGGCCGGGCTCAGAAAGTTCGGGGGCCCCGCCCGCTCCGGCTCTCCGAACCGGCCGGGGGGCTCGCCGGGGAAACCGGCAAGGGGGCCGTACGGCTTGAGGCCATAGTCCAGGGCAACATCGGGGTATGCGAATCCGCAGGGCGGGCTGGCGACCTTACGTGCATTCGGCTCTTCTGGAAAGAGAAGGGGGAGGGGGTCTGTTTAAGCCTCTAAAACGGAACTCCCGGCGCGGCGTAGCCTCCTGACTGTTTGTCCCAGATCCCCGCCGCCAAACCCCACGCTGGAGCCTCTGCCCTCACCCCGGAGGAAACCAAGGCCCTCCGTCCCAGACCCCCTGAAGAGAGAGGCCGAAGCGGAACGAGTCTAGGGGCAGGTGCTCCGCACCGCAGGTCCCAGCTGGGCCTTGAAGGCTGCTGGGCGGATGGCCTCGAACTCGGTTTGAATGGAGTCCTTAGGGGAAATGCAGTGTATCTCGCAGCCCGGCCCCACCCCCGCACCCACAATACTTACCCTGCCACACAGGCCGGCCCCTGACCTTCCCTCTCATCTGAGGTCAATTCGTTTCAACACTGCTCACAACCCAATATGTGGATTTCCTGGCCCACCAGTGGGTCGTGACCCACGGTTTGAAAAACACTGCCTAGGCCTGTCTGGGCGCTCTGTGCACACAACAAGGCCCAGGACACAGGGGGGGCGCTGCACAGCGCTGGGGGCTCGAACCCCAGACAGTCACACCCGCTATAACAAGAGGCTTAATTCAGAACCAGGATCCCTGACCCGGGTTCTCAACTGTGTCCTTTTACACACGAGGAAACTGAGGCCCAGCAAGGGGAAGAGGTTGACCCAAAGACCCGGAATTAGCAGGCTTAGAAATCCCACCGCCAAAAGGCAGGGTCACGGCGATAGAGTCCCCCAAACTATTAAAACCAGCAAACACAGAACGACCTCATCTTTTCCTTATTGGTGGCTGCCCACCTGTGCTGCCCCCTCGGCGGGCCCTACTGGAGAACGGTGTTCACGCGGGTCGTTCTGTGTCAACTGCACAAGCGCCCCCCTTCCCCTCCGTCACTGAACTCCCTGCCTGCCCCCTCCTAGGCAGGACACCCCGCCTCACCACTCAGTCCAGGCACACGGGCTGCTTGGGAGATCCCTGCGGAGTCGGCCAGGGAACTAACTTCCTTCCCGCCGCCCCTTACCCCACTCGGCCTCCAGGGAACCCCACCTCGCAGGGCCCCTCCCCTCCCCCTCAGCCATGCAGGTCGGCCTTGACCCTCACTGACCCCAACTGCTCTAGAACCCCAACTGCTCCGCCACCAAGACCCGAGCCCAATTCCCTGCCTCCCAGCCCGCCGCGGCTGCCCAGACACCCTCTCCACCTGACTGCTGCTGCCCCCTCCTCCCTGGGCTCCCCATTCCTCCCCCCGTCCCTCCTCTGCCCCCCACGGCGGCCTCTGAACGTCCCCTCTCAAACCCCACTATAAAGGCTTCCCAGCACCTCAGGAGGTCCTGAAGCGTCCAACACAGCATGTCCCCAGCCCCGGCCTGTCCCGACTCTTGCCAGCTGGCCAGCAGCAGCCCCCGACACCCACGGTGCTCAGGCAGCTCCTCCCGCATGTGCGCTGCCTGCGCTTCCTGCACTGGCCCACTGAAACGATCACCTCCACCCTCTTCCCTGGCATCTCTCCATTGACACCTGTCGGCAGCTCCCACCACAGCAGATACTTATCCGTTCGGGGAAGCTCGGCCGCTCCGCCAGGCCAGGCGCACCCGCGGGCGGGTGTGGGGTGAATTAGAACACGGCCGCGCCTGTGTTTGCCAGGGCGGACAAAGCACCGCGGTGTCTGCGCTCCAGCTGCGGCTGCCGCAGGACTGCGGGCTCATGGAGCCGAAACTGCGGCTGCCTGGCCCTTTGTAGACGTGCACGGCTCCCACCGCGCGCTGAGCCCGCCAGGGCGGAGCCCCGTGTTCCGCACTGGTTGCCAAGCGCCTGGCACCTGCAGGCCCTCCGAACACGTTTGCTGAATGGCCGAGAGACTAAGTAAATGAAAGAATCAAGTCCAAGGCCCGCCGGCCAGAAACAGGACGTCTTCCTGCAGTTGTGTGTGACAGCTCCTGCCTTGGTGGGCCCGGGGCACTCGGGCTAGTCCCAACCTCCCTGTGCCTTTCTGCGCCATCCCAGAGGAAGCACTGTCCGGGTTAGCTGAGTGCTGTGGTGATCTCGTAGGGTCTAGATGGTGCCCCCACTCCTAGTGAGTGCCCAAATGCTTCCTCAGCTCTTTGAGTAAAGATAAATGACTCTCAACAAGGCCAGCCTGGCAGGGCCCTGCCTGCCACCTCCTCTCCCCTCTGTCTGCTCTCTTCCTCCCTCTCTCTGGACTCCCAGGCAAAGTGGAGGTTTCAGGAAAGCACCGAGCTCCTTCCTGCCTCAGGACCTTTGCACTTGTGTTCCTCTGCCTCAACAGCTCCTCCCACCAACACCAGGTACCCTCCTCTACAGGACTAAAGCCCACTCATTGCCCACAAGCCTGGCTGAGGTGCCATGCTCTGGAAGGTTCCTGACCTCCTCGACTAAGTCAGCCCTGCTCACAGGTCCCTGCTCTGCTCTTTTGCACGTTTCACCATCCCAATTAAGCACAAGTGGAGTTATCCACTTATTGTCAGCCTCTCCAACCTGCAGCCCCAGCCCCCCCATCAGTAAACGCCATGGAGGACTCTCTTGCTCCACAGCGTAGCCCCAGCCCAGCCCCTGGATGGCACCGGCCACAAAGCAGGTCTCAAACAAGATGGTCGCTGCCTGAGCGAATGAACAACCCAAGTTCAGAAAAGTCTACATGGAGTATTTAAATTACTCAAGATGCTAACATCCAAACCAAGAGGTAGAAGGATGTAACCTCTGAGAGGGCAATTTGGTAGTGTTATCAAATTCCCAACACACGTGCCTTGGAACAAGTGATGCAACTTTTAGAAATGATCCTGCAGATAACTCTCATCTGTGCAAAATGCAGTGTGCATAAGACCAGCTGCTGCAGTCCTGTTGGATCCCAAAGACTGGAAGTGACGGGAAAGCCATCGATTTTGGGAGGGGTTAAATCTGGCTCTTTCATAGAACAGGAGACACTACAGCTATAAAAGCTTGAAAAGTGCTTTCTGCCCTGATGTGGAATGACCACCAGATTTTAGTGGTAATAGAGAAAAGCAAGCTGGTATACGTGTCCATAGTATAAAAAAAAAAAAGTGATGAGATGTAACACACCACAACACACACACACACACACACAGCTGCTGGCTTGCTCTGAAAGGCACAGGTTAACAATGATTCCTCCAGCAGAGAACTAAGGAATTAAGAAACAGTGGCTCAGCAGAAAGACTTTTTGATTCTCTATATTATTGTAGAGAAAAGAAACAATTCAAAGGAACATTTTAATTTTATTTCATAGGTGGCGGCTGACATAAATGATACATACTAATGAAACTCTGGTTTACAAAGCAGGAAATTGAGACTCTAGTCCTGCTCTGCCACTAATTGTGTGACTCTGGAAAAATCCCGCCCACTTGAGGGTCAAACCCTTCTCGTTTATAACAGAACAGTATTAAACTGACTCAGTCTCCTCGGTTGTTTCTGGCTCTGAATCCTTTGATTTTTTTTTTTAGCAAGTGTATTTAGAGGGTCTGGATGTTCTCGTGAAGCTGCAGTTCCACGTAAGCTTGTGTTTGAACTTGCATGCGCTCACACATCACCACACGCATCTTCCTAGCAGTAACAGAGCACAGACTTTTAATCTAGGAAAGTCAATGTCAGTCCATGTCCGACAACATTCTGAGAATTCACTGCCTCTAACCAGAAAAACAAAACACAGAAAGTCTCTTAGCAAACTTCCAGCCTTATCAGAAAAACTGCCTTGCATCTTATCAGAGCACACTCAGGGCTGATTGAACAGTCACAGAAGTGCAGCCATGAAAAAAACACATTCACTCACACTCCCTGCAAACACTTGAAAAACAGAAAGCTCCAGTTTGCCGAGCAAAAATATTGAAAGCATTTACATTGGTTTTAATTAATCCAAGCACCAGTTTTTTCTTCCCTTTTTCCCCCCGGCCCCAATACTGAATGTTGAACAGCAAACAAAGAATATGAAGATAGTTAATAATAATTCTCAGTCCTCTGGGTATTTGACAGTAAATTTCATAAATGGTGCATCATTAAAATATTTAAGTAGCTGAGATTCCTTTGCTCTTTCCCCTTAAACAACTGCCACCCTGGCAGACACCTCTCCGACACTCACTGCAACACCCACACGGCACTGGGGGACGTTAGTTTCATCTCAGAACCACCACATTTTCTCAGGAGGGTTTCCAAAAATCTTGCTTTTCTTACTATTGGCATGATCTTTGCTCTAGCCATGCACCACCAGTAAATATGATTTGCTTAATATTTCTAGTATTTAAATTCACTCAATTTTTATTTTAAAGGGAGACTTTACACTACAACCACAAACGGAAAATCAATGTCACCTCCATAAACAGAAGGTAGGGTAAAGACACAACAAAAATAAAAGTTACAGAATTGGAGCGAGACAGAGTGGCTGGCCAAAGGCCCTGAGCCTGAGGCTTGCCCCGCCTTAGCTACGGTGTGGGCACAGATGCTGAGTGTGGGGTTTAATGAGTTTTGCCCAATGTTATCCGCCCTTGTCACCACAAACCACAGTCCAGATATGGAATATTTTTTTCATGACCCCAGAAAGTCTACCTGTGCTAAGGACCGGAGATAGCAGGGAGAGAAGAACAAGTGTTAGAAAGAAAGGTGTTCAAGACACGGCGCTGCCTTGCTGAGACTCCACTCCTGACCCACTCAAAGACAGAACACCACTGAAAACGTCAGCTCTCGTTGTATGCCGTGTACTCAGCGGAGGACCAGCTGAAACCATCTCGCCTGCCACGGGAGGCACCTGGCCTGCACTCGAGGCATCAGCACCAAAAGGGAGGAAGAAGGTGGAAGTCGTGGCAGTGGATTCCGAGGTCACTGCTCTAGGTCCTCTGTGCCTCAGTGCCTTTGCACATGCTGCTCCCTTTGTCCTGAATGCCCGTCTGTACCTGCTGACCTCACTTCTCCTAACAAGCTACTATTTGGCTATCATAATTTAAACTTGAGCCACCTCCTCCTGGAGGCCCTCCC